CTGGAAAGAAAGTTTTTGGTTGTCCAGATTTGCAGGAATCTGAAAAACGCGTTTCACAACTTGTCTCTTATTTAGTTTTATGCTGCATTCAAGATGGCGGCCCTCATATAGTAAATATCGTATTTATTTTATTATCACGTGTGCGCCAGCTGACTGTGTCACCATCGATCGGACGCGTTGGAACTAATTGCAATTGTTTACATCGCGTGGGACCCATATATTATTGCTACCGAAATGACACTGCGGAGAAGTCATGACTCACCTGAATTGATCTTCTTCTTTTCTCATTTGATATGCGCTCGCCTCATTTAAAACAGCCTTGTACCGTTTCATTATAGTCGATGTAGTCTGCGTGGCGTCACTATGACGTAGCTCCATGTAGTGGTATGTAAATGAGCTACACTCTGAAACTGCCGATGACCCATAACCTTTGAACTCTGCGGGCTCCAAATCAAATTCCCGGATGTCCTCATATCCATATTTCGATAACAGTCCATGGTAGTTGTTGAACGCCAGTTTAATTGGGCCGTACAGTTTTTGTATTACGTCGACGCTTCTGGTGTCTCGTTTTATTGCTTCCATAATCTGAAAGTGACGAATAAATCATAATCAAATCTTTGACTTGAACCGTGCAATGCTACCTATAACAATACAGTATTATTTTTATGTTAATGCACTGAGTCACATTCTAAAGCAAATGCGTCGAACCAGCCTCTGAATATATAATCACAACTAGTTTAAACTTAATAAATTATGTTTTAATTGCTGGTACGTAGTTGATATAGTATTCATCTACGATATTAGTATCACGAAAAGTACTGATTCTATCTTCGCGTTTATAATCTACTATCATTTTCGATTCGTAACCCATGAGTTGGTTTTCTCAAAGCGCGGTGGCCGTCGCGCAGCGCGTGTTCGAATTTGTTTTACACGCGTTATATACGTCGCTATGAGTCCCATATCGAACAGGACGCAGCATGACGACTGTCGCCCTTTAAACAACACATTTGTTCATAACCATTATTGTTTCTAATATTAATACAAGATCTTGTCTTGTCTGCAGCTGGCGGTGGTGGTACAATTCAACATAACCCCGGTTATGGTTATGCTTAGCGGAGGACCGAGTGCAGTGTACCTTCAATATTGCTATTATACCCCCCCCCTAAAAAAACTAAAATTGTCGACGTTTCCCACGCCTACCTCTTTGTCCGCCTGTATCATTTTCGGTACGGTGTTCTCCAGTTTTGTTATGACGTTATACGCTGGTTTCAGTTGCGTCATCGCATACTTTTTAACATTTTCGGTTTGAGCGAATTTGTCCAGTACATAGAGCGCCCTCTCCGTCATATACTTGCTAGGATTCTTTGTGTACGTCTCCATGTGCATTTTCTCCGCTTGTCTGTCAAACCCACCTGGAAAATAACAAATGGGAAGTGGGTTATAAACGTAGATTGCCTAATCCCCCAAGATGGTAATAAATAAAAGTAGATTATTTCTACATACGAAAAGCACGGGGTAAAACGTGTATTATATCACTATGTCCCAATATTCTTTATAGACTAGATACAGCTTTTTGCGGCCCGAGGTCGTGCAGCGGAAGCAATCGAGCTTGCGCCGTATCTATAAAGATTTTATAATATACCTTATTGGTGTAATTATTTAAGTTTACCACGGCGTGACCTCAAAAACACGACGTAACAATGTGAGGGCGCACTTCACATAGCGTTGCGTGGCCGGCCAATACGAGGGATAAGATAATTTACATTGCCCAATATAACGAACAGCTAAAAATATATTTCACAATTTTAGCGTATAGTCGGATGGTGAAATGTGCCGTTATGTCGTGCAGACGTCGGAAACAATGATGGTGTTATATTTGCACGTGAGATATTGTGATGACAAAGTTGACAGCGGTTCTACAGCATCGACAGTATCACCAAAGGAGCACCTACTGAATTCGAATCTTACTGATCGAGAGACCTTTGAACTAAACGTGTAATACTGTAAATTTATTAATTATTCACTGGGTTTTAATTTCGCTATTTTCGCTGATAAGTATAATCCGCTAAATTAAAATGTAAAACATGTTAAATAACAATAAAACTCATTGTTTTTTTGACAAATTCGTGAAATTGAAACATAGTGAATATGCTCAAAGAATTAAAATAGTGAAAATAAATGATTTTACAGTATCTCATCTATCGGACGAAACACTTGTTATTTGATATACTTACTCGGCTTGTAGGTTCCTTTAATGTTAGCCCTCGTCACCCAAGTTGGAATACTCGAAAATATAGCACTGACAAATGAAAACGGTAACCATAGTGATGATGATGAGCTGATGGATGCATTCCTCTTAGCACTCATTTGGATTAGAGCGTGTTTGTATTTGTTCTGCTCGTCGTGAAAGAAATCTTTGGTTGCGAACTCTTCGTCGTCTAGTTGGATGTCAGGCCGCTCGAGGGCGGTTTCCAAAGCAGCCATTTTACCTTCAATCATCTTCAATTCACCTTTGAACTTTTCGAGTAAGTCAGGCTGCAGTTCACGAAAAACGGGATTTTCCTCATCCCAGTCACACAACACTTTGTGCAATTTTTCGGTGACGGCCGTCTCGATGTGGGATTCGATGACGGGCCATGTGAGACCTGTCGGGGTTTCGGTGTCCTCCCAGGATCGCATCTTCACCTTGATTGCCTGAGATCGCAGCATTTCTTGCAGTTCGCCGACTATTTCCTTGACGCGCTCTTCCATATACCGTTTCATGGAAGAAATCAGGCCTCCCGCCTCTTTTTCCAGTCTCAACAGCCGCTGTTCTGTGACACGGTAGGACGATGTCAGGTTCATGGTGCTGCGCCGTGTTTTGTTAAGGTACGTGTTGACGTGATGCAGAACTCGCGAGACGAAGTAGTCCAGCCACCTGTAGGAATGAACACATTCACATACAATTAAATGACTTCCTCACGCGATACGATTCAGTGTACGCAGTCGTACTTCGGCTCCAACTCAGCACATCACGAAATTGCAAATTACCGCGGCCGGATCCCGAATGAACCCATACCTGAGACGAATTTCCAAAACTTACAGTACCTGTAATGAACTTGAACTTTGCTAGTAAGACTGATAGGCAGCAAATGTTGAATTCCACGTAATAATTTCTCAAAATCGTTTGTGACGGACCCATGTTTCAGCGCCATTGACGCATTTTTCGTTGATAAGAAAAACACCTGAAATTGCAAAGAAAAGTAAATTTGAAATCTGAGTAAATACGTGTCACACGTGACGACAGGGGATGTTGCGGTTGCCCGGATGTTGCGGTTGCTCTTAAATTGTAATTATCCTGGTTTCTATATTTATACCTGAGAATCTGACAATCCTAACCAACAACGTTGTAATTTCTTCATTGTATCTTGTTTGACCTTTTCACTCTCAACCTTTGGCACGGCGTCCCATTTATTACAGACAAAGATGGCGGCACGTGCATTAAACTTCATCTGCTCATCGGGACTTTTCTTCTCGACGACAAGTCGCAAGAAGCGCTGAAGCTGATAAAAAACAAATTGAAAATAAATTATAAGACTTGAAAAGTTTATAATTGAAGTTGAATTGACGCATACACGAATAGATGGGCACAATCGTCATTAAAATGTATGTACAAGGTGACACACGAGAGACTCGCTGGGCATGGAATAAATCGAGCCAGAGTAATGATTTTACCAGAGGGGGTATGGTATAATTAGATCATTGGCATTTAGCGGAATTGCATAGATTTTCGTAACAGACCCAGCAACAGTAATTATTTAAATTTACGGTTAAATTCCCTTGGCGCTGCGCTACTGTGACCCAGCCCGGCGAAATACGTGCAGTTGTGTCTCGAACAAATGCCGTTGAGATGCCGAATTTACGGCGGAACATAGACTGGAAATGGAATTTAATCAAATTCAGTTTGGACGGAAATGTGATGTACATGCGTTGACTGTATTATTTATTTTTTCATTCTACCAAATGGCCATATGAGTGACATGTCTCGTGTCATTGATTCTTCCCAGGCTACACTTAACAAATTGTATTACTCACTCTGTCTTCCTGTACACCCCCCGCGTTGGCACTGTTGATGACGTAGATAAATGCAAATGCTTCATTTAAATAACTTGTAACGATGTTATCCATAGCTTCGTTTTCGCCAATACCCGGACTGTCAACGATGAAGATACCATTCTGTAAAAATTTTAAATAAAATTACTGATTAATTTCAAAAGAATTTGTCAGACCATATTTTAAAGCACCTAAAATGGAATTTTCATTGTATGAATTGATAATATGAATTGATGAACTGTGGTTCAGAATCAAAACAATGGTTGCATTCCCACTTGGCAAATCTTTGAGTTACTATTCCCTTACAATATATCTACCATAATAATTCGACGCTGAAGAGTGGTGGGCAAAATTTGGGTGAGCAAATTCGGTGGGCAAAATTTAGGTGAGCAAAATACGGTGGGCAAAATTTGGGTGAGCAAATTCGGTGGGCAAAATTTAGGTGAGCAAAATTTAGGTGATCAAAATTCGGTGGGCAAAAATTAGGTGAGCAAAATTCGGTGGGCAAAATTTAGGTGAGCAAATTCAGTGGGCAAAATTTAGGTGAGCAAATTCAGTGGGCAAAATTTAAGTGAGCAAAATTCGGTGAGCAAAATTTGGATGGGCAAAATTCGGTGGGCAAAATTTAGGTGAGCAAAATTTGGTGGGCAAAAATTAGGTGAGCAAAATTCGGTGAGCAAAATTTAGGTGAGCAAATTCAGTGGGCAAAATTTAAGTGGGCAAAATTCGGTGAGCAAAATTTGGATGGGCAAAATTCGGTGGGCAAAATTTAGGTGAGCAAAATTAAGGGGGGGCAAAATTCGGTGGGCAAAAATTCGGTGAGCAAAATTGTTTTTGTTTTTTATTAAACATAGCGGTGTATGTATTTCCATATGTTAAAATTATAATAAATAGCATCTGACTCTTCTACTGACCCGCATTTATTTAGAGACATATCTGTTTCTCGGAGAAATTGTGCTCATAGTTTACAAAAACGATTTCGTTATCTGATCTGGTGAGCAACCTGTTGTTTTCTAGCAACAAATTTTGTGACTTATAATGTGTTTATATTGTATTATATTGTAACTTAGGTTAGTAAGGAGGTTTTGTTCGTTGGTTGTCCGTAATATACTGACGCCGTGAAATTGTAATTGTCCTGGCTGCTATATGTATACCTGTGAATGTAACCAGCATCGCTGTGACTTCCTCGTTGTACCTTGTTTGACCTTTTTAACCGTCCACACTTGGCACGGCGCGCGTCCCATTTATTACAAAAAAATAACAAAGGCGGCGGCACGAGCGTGAAACTTCACCTCGGGGAATATTTCTGACCAGAATTTTGCTCACTATAACATTTAACATTTTAAGATTTTGCACAATGTGAAATTATTGGATTTCTATTGCAAACAATCATTTAGTTAGGGGGTTTTGTTTGTCCTCGAATGCAGTTACATTTCAGGTATGTTCACCTATGGGTCAACACCTCAAGTGCTCTCAGAATGATTTCAGTGGAAAGATCAGGGTAGAAAAAAAACAAGCAGCCTCTCGGCTGAGATAGCTCCGCTGTAAGCACTGCACATTTCAATTAAAGAACAGAAGATATCATTAGAAAATGAACAATATGCATAGCATCAATGCAATGGGACTTGCTGTTTTCAACAAGAATTCAAAAATATCATTTTTCACCATAAATGATTGCGGTTTTTAACAAGAAGTCGAAAATATCACTTTTTACCAAAAATGACAAAAATATTCACCAAAATTAGAGAATTAAAGATATCATTACAAAATGAATACATCTGAGAGAGGTCCACATGTAGTACCTATTTATATGTAATATCAAAGTAATTGGACTTGCCGTTTTTAACAAGAAGTCGAAAATATCACTTTTTACCAAAAATGACAAAAATATTCACCAAAATTAGAAAATTAAAGATATCATTACAAAATGAACAAATCTGAGAGAGGTCTACCCAAGGTACATACATATACACCAAGTATCAAAGCATTCAGGCTTGTAGTTTTCAAGAAGAAGTCGAAAAAGTAAAACATTGACACGAACGACGGACGACGACGGACAATCACTCATATGATAAGCTCCGCTCGACAAAGTCGACAGCGGAGCTAATAAAAAGTTGAAATACAAATGTAACTTTAAATAGTGTTACACGCCATGCTGATAAAGATGACGTCACATATTATCACAAAGGCGTTGAGAAAATCCATCGACATGTTATTATATTCGCCGTCCAGTATTTCAGCTATTATTAGTATTCTAAGTTATTCGCTATTTGTAGCTATGTGGTCTATTATCAGAGGCGGCGGCACAACATTTTGCATGAGGGGTGAGATCTGAAATCTAGACCCTCTGAAACGCTATTTCCTGTAATTTGAGGGGCAAGTTTTGCTGACACAAAGGTTTCAGCTAGATTTGGGAGGCGACGCTTCTCCCCCCCCCCAAACACATTTTTTTTCGAGGGGAGGCTGCCCGCTCTATCCGACTTCCCCCGATGCCACCGCCAATGAATGTTTCAATAAATTCTACAACTGGTGCACAAATAAAACGCATATTTAAAATAGCCACCCACCTGCAATACCGGAATAGGCATGAACACTTCGATACTTTCGTAGTTACTCCGCTTTTCACGGTCACGTGTTTGGTGTACGTACTTTGAGAGTGTTTTCAACACGTCTTCACTCTCCCCTTCCAACTCAATTTCATCGGCTCTACGGCCAAACATGTAATTTATTCTCATTTTTTTTCTCTCGCCCCATCTCAATATGCAAATCGTTGACGTCGAACTCAAATGCGAAAACGGAAGAATGTCTTCACCAAGTATTAAGTTCAGAAGGCTACTCTTTCCAGCGGAAGTCTCGCCTAAAATAACATATATTACAAAAAAACAGCACATAAACAAACAGTAGCAATGTCATGACCCGGGACGTGTGATTATAATCACCCATAATGCAATGGGCCCTGCAAAATATATGGTGTCTCTGCTCAAAGTTCAGTGCTACAGTTCGCCAGTGCTTAGTTAGGCATGTTACTAGTACTCTTACCACCATAAAACCACCATTATAAAAGTGACACGTATAAAAAGACTATACCTGCAACTAATATCGGACAGTCGCCGGTTTGCAAGCTCTGTGAAGCTCTGACGATCTTTTCCGTGAAATTTCCGATGACTTCTTCTCGTTGGAGCACGGAGGCCACGTGACTGTCTATGCTATCTAATTGTTCCTCAACATTCTCATAGAGAGTCTGTAATCGTTTACGCCGCTCTTCGTCTTCTTCCTGACACTGTCTTACTAATGTGATTGCCTACCGACGAATGAAATGGTATAATTATGTTATTATTAAGCAGCCAATCAGACACAATGTAAATAAATAAATAAATAAATAAATAAATAAATAAATAAATAAATAAATAAATAAATAAATAAATAAATAAATAAATAAATAAATAAATAAATAAATAAATAAATAAATAAATAAATAAATAAATAAATAAATAAATAAATAAATCAATCAATCAATAAATTTAATACTTACATTCAGATTGGCTGTCGCCGAGTTTCCGGATTTCTTTATATGATTTCGGAGAAAGTTTTTGACTTCTTCCACATTTTGTAAGTCTTCATCTACCTCAATGCCAAGGTCATCAGCAATGTCAAAGGCTGTCATCAAATCGCCGATCTCGTCGATCTGCTCCTCTGTCAACGTATTCGACATGGTGCACTAACTAAACAAATTCATTTATTATTAGCCAGACGGATAAACTGAAAGACATACTTGAGGGCAGGTGGACAGGCAGGCACAGTGTCTAACCGACAAAATATTAAATATGTAACCATATGTTACGTGCCATGTTTTATAATCCAGTGCCTGGTTTTATCACTTACTAGTAATATCTGATGTGTACATAGAATTGGTGTAGACGTGGGGCGTAGACTGGAAATGGAGTCGTGACGTATACGTTGTTCAAATTAAGGCACCTATATAAACATATAGTTTGCTACTAAACCCACATCCCGATTGTGGCGTTCGTGACCGTGGGTAAAGTGTTCCGGGATGTAAATGATACTCGTATTCACTTCAGTAATTACTTATGAGCCCTGGGGGAAATACCATTCAAAGTGGCAAACACAAAGAACTGGCTACATCCGTGTTACAGTATATATAGACTGTGTAGGTGAGTCTATGGCTAGCCGTTTAAATGGCATACACCCACTACAAAGATAATAGCCACGATAAACCGCCATTGTGCGGGGAAGGGGGGTAAATACAAACTAGATTCTAGAATAACAAGGCGTCAGTTAATGATATACTCGTTTGGATGTTCCTGATGCAGTAGCAGTGTATCGAGCGTTTTGATTTGAAATTTAAATACAACATTCGTGATGGGTGAATGGTACAGATTACAATTGCTCTGAGTGTTACCTTCTTTCAAACACCGCATGTGAAATCTTCATTCGACCGCAACAATTATCGTTTTATAAGTTACGCTTTGCCGACACTTACCTGTTCAACTTGACTTCATTGTTATTATGATAAGGCTTTGCATTCATGGAATGAATCGGTGGGTATGTTTTCCTGGGTGTTTGCTGTTACAAGTTTGCTTCCGGGTGCGCACAATGCAGGCAAACAATTGATAGGGGCTGCTTTGTATCGAGTCTGCGCACTGACCGGGGCTTCCAGTACGCGGAAGTCACCCGACAAAGGAAGATAATTATTTGTACACGACAGTTTGAGTTAGAAAGGTCGACGTTGTGCTGTGCTGTGCTGTGCACGCCCTTAACTTTAATACCACATTGGTGTGTTTTTTTGTGTTATTTCTTACGTCATGAAAGCAAAACTCTGATGCGCGATGTCAAACGAAAAGGTACCTGGATACACCGTGGACGACGTGAAGAAATTAAGCGATCTCAGACAGGCGAGAAAACTGCTCAAGGAAAACCACATAAGTTTGGAGGGACTGCAGAGTTTGTGGGATTGTAAGGACAGACTTAACCAGTACCTGAAAAAATGCAACGACCCAGTGTCGAACGACGGGGCGTTCACTCGGGTAAGTGCTCACGTTGCTGCGATCACAATCGACGATTATATTCTTACAACCACTCAGAAATAATATCAAAATGGTTCACCTATATCAGTGGATGGGTGGACGGCAATGGAACGCGGAAGTCGTCGGGGCTGACCATGCGAATAGTACGAGATAAGACAACATGGGCCGCGCATAGCAGATAAGACACTGCCGTAATCCATATTTTGCATACACAGTCGCTGCCACGCTTGTGTTTAAACCAATATAATATATACATTTACCAATAATTACTAATTCCCACGGGCTATTAATTATTAATTCCCACGGGCAAATAATTAATATTTTCCACGGGCGTTGTAAATCATATACTAGTATATATGCATATACACAATCTTATTATTATTATTAGTTATATGACTGGGGTTTTGAGGCTGGGTGGTATGTATGCGTTACAGTTCTGACTTCAAATTCGGGAAATAAATAACCTGTTCAAGTTTTAATGACCATACGAAAGTGAGTACATGAAATGTTTTTTTTATGCGTGGAGCTGCCAACATAGACCCTGATACAAATTGTATCGGTAATAGAAACTGAACGTGCAACGCTCTCAGAAAATAACACTTAGGCTTTGCTTGTTCTAACCATTATTATGAGTATTTCCCATGATATAAATAACAATGCAAAACACTCCGAGTCAAGGTCACGTGTCACAATAGCGTATTATCGAGAGTAAGTAGACAACCGAGTCGTCATTTCCTTTGTTCATATTCAACGTTTCATCATAACAGCTATCATAACAGAAGCATGGCATAGTAGAACAGGCCGACAGATGCAAACCATTGCTTTTATTTATTTCAACTGCGTTGTCCTACTAACAATGTTGTAACCAGGTGTAAATTGTCGCCTTTGTATATTATAGTGATTCAAGGAAATATATATGTTTACTCAGGCTTGTCGGCCACGGCATTATACATCCATAAAGTAAACACGACATCACACCCCTACAAATTGTGGTTGCGTCCATATATGGGAAATCAAGTCAAAGTACGGGAAAAATTACAATTTTTTTTTTATCGAAATAAATTACTAATGGGAAACACTCTCAAAATTCTCCTCGCCGTGTCCTCTAGTCAATATATAATGGCTCCCAGCGCGCCCATCCACGAGGTTATGAATTGGGTCTCCAGTCTAGAGAATTCCAAATAACAACCTTACGCCATTGCCTAATAGAGTTGTTTATGATTGCCACGTATGCATCGTCTTAATTCACCACTGTATCAATGTCGACCATCTAGCTAGCTGGGGTCAAATATTATCGAACCCCAAATCTTTTGGCAACACTCGTTGCCACGGTATTATGAAGTGATATCAAGACCGCGTCTTATAATATTATTCGCAGTATATTTTCGCTCAGCAGTGGAAGGATCACGTGACCTCGACGCGCGTAACAACCATTAACCATCGAGTGTAAGATGATTTATTTAATAATAGTAGTAACAAAAACATGTATTGAAAATCATAAGTTTATTCATTCCAGTCACGTCTTCGTCCACTTTTGAATGCAGACTGTCAGGAAAAAGAAGAGAGAAAAAAACATATTTAAAGACACGTGGCGTTTTATGAATTAAAATGTTATGTCTTGACATGCTATATCCTTGAATAAACAAAACTCAGTGCAGAATGCTGGTCAGAGTTCGGCTGCGAATTCTGAGCCAACATGAATTTTAAAAATACGCCCGTTTTCGCGGTACCCGAGTTGACTGACACATTGCCAATATATAGTGCACGTGGTGCCGTTGAATACACCAATCACTTCAGTATAGGTTGCATCCGCGTGTCCATTGTCGTACGAACACTTATGCAATCTTTTGTTGCCGACTGTTTCCGACATCTACCACGCCATCATCATTATGATTATTTATTGAAAGTAATATATTGTATACACGGAACATTCATTTTCAGTTCCTTGTTGTTATATCATGCAATTCCATATTTCCGCTTGTGAAACAAAATACGGAAGCAACTTTTAAAATGATCAGAAATATTTTTGTATACGCGTTTTATCAAATCGGCTATCGTGTTTTTAAATATATTTTTATGAGCACTGACTGAGAGCTGTTAAGTCATACCGACATCATGCACTCACAAATTCAACGTGATACTGCGGGAATAGTCGTGTAATAACCCCTGTACCTTAACACTGTATGCAAATAATGTAGTCGCTGTCGTACACGCGGCAGTTTACTGTGATTTATAGCACAGGATGACCCAATTACCATGTGCGAAACTATTTATTACTATAACAATGGAGAATAAAACAATAAAACGATTTTGAACCGACAATAAAACACCAGCAAGGCCGTTTAGAGACCCACAATGCGATATAACTTTGGCAACAAAATGTTTTTACGTGACCCTGCCGTTTCCTAGCGGCTCAGAATGTGCCCGATTTCGGTTCGAAATTGTAGACATCGTAGAGGGCGCAGTGAGTTGTAGTCGGAGGTTAACCATGACAGTGCTTGCGATAATAATTTCTTGTGACTATATTTTGTCTTTATTCGATGGTAACTGTTCTGTATTGCGACGAAATGTACTTATCTCGCTAATTTGTGGGATTTGTTATCACTTGGGGCTCGCTATAATTAACTCCAGCTTGTCAACTTTTCATACAGGGAGCCGACGTCCTGCAAGAGATTTTGCAAGAGGACAAAGAAAAACGAAACGAGCTGTTGATGTTATACACAGAGGTACAGAGCTACACGAAGACAATAAACGACAGCAACAAGGAACATTTGAAGAATAATGTCGAATATTATGAGCAGAAACTAGTAGATTTCGTCTCTCAGCTCCAGAAAAACGATTGCCCAATCTTGGTAGCTGGTAAATATATGCATACTAATTTTTCTTGTGGTTCTAGTGTTATTCAAATATATCGCCAGTGATAGTAGGGAAGAACTGAGATTCCTCTACCGTAATTCCAGTGCAATCAACATACCAAGTATTTGTTGCCGCTAGTTTCGAAACAGACCAATGTCGTTTTTAAAGCGTCACCTACGCATGCGTCAGGTGGCCATGGCGTGTCATTGTTTACAAACAAGCGCCTACCCATGAGCCTTTGCGTCCTTAGCGTGTGTTGTTATCGTCGCTTGGAACTCAATTCCCACGCGTGCGCAGGTGACGATACTCCCGCTTTAAGGTAGTGTGCTGCCACTAGCACTTATCGCAAGCCCGAGATTTCCTCGACTTTTACCATATGGCTTTGCTAACAAAATCCTTATGCCAAAGTATATGGTCGCCAATGAAACACCAATGGAAATGGCGATTGTTTGAACTGTTCACCATTTGTTCCTATGTATTAAAATTTCGCTCAGGCACATGGTTGAACAAATTCGCATTTAGTTATAATGATTATTATTATACATCTGTCACCGTAACGCCATAAGTTACAGCGTGCAGTAATTCTGTGGTATTTTACGGGGTATTTTCATCACACCATATTAGGAAATGCGCATTCCAAATATGGAATAATTATGTGCGTAAGCGTCCTCTACTAATAATAAAAAAATTGGCTGCCATCAGAGTTTGACCGTAATCCACACAAAGAAGTTCGCTGATTCTGTTCTAAACATTTTGAATTTCGGCAAAAGGAAGGAAAAGATGTATAATGATACTGTTATTACGAGAATATCTCAAAGTATGCACTCAGACCTCCGCTGCATGTTTTCAAATTCTTTTTCTCCCTAAATTATTTTGTGCTGAGTAAAAAATCCCAAAAGTCAATGAAATTTGTCAAAATCAACAATAAGCTATCACAAATTTGCAACAAAACACAGGATATTTTTTTCTCTGTTACTAGTATTTTATAATTTGAACGACCTTTAATTATGCAAATGGTCGTATTTGTCACTTAATCGCACCATACAAATCATCTTGACTACAATAGTACATGCGCCACACTGCAGATATGCAAATTAGTAGAGCGGATCTATTTTATTGCTACGGTAACTTGGGGAATGGATATTATCTTTTGCTTAGCATGCTTTCCGGTACCGGGATTTATGCTCATTTGGAAAGGAAGATGATTTGTGTCAAGGTAGGCACGTGTCTCCTGAGAACACTAAACGGCTTTGCGTCGAAGTGCAGCACATGTAAATTAAGTAAACACCAATATTATAATTATTAATTATGACATTGCAGAAATAGTCTCACGTGGCGCACCTTCGAATTCAATGTAAACAGAACTAATGTATTTCACACGCGTTGTATACACCACATATTACCCATATCGATCAGGACGCCGACCGACTGTGGTGGTTTTAAGTAAAGTTACACTCAGGCTGCTTCTGTGTCGACAATTTTTGTTGTTGTGAACTTGAAAAAATATACCCAGATAAATGCGGGGGGGGCTGCAAAGAGAATGTGATTGTTATTTTTTCAGATATAATTTCCGATTGTAAATTACGTTGAAGTCATTATATATACATGTATGGCATAAAGGTTATTGAGGGCATAGCACCATTGACAACGAAATGCGTTTCCTTACTTGCATCTTAATGCGTCAGTAAATACAAGATACATGTAAATTCCTACATCAATCATGTTGGGGTATTTTAGTCAACAATTAAAATGATTCTGTAATGAGAGCTAAATATAATACAGTTTCCGTCAACAAGTAATACAATATATTATAATTACATTATTTAATTGTTTTTTTTTTAATCCAGATTTTTAATATTTACTACAATAAAAATAAAATGCCAGTAGTGATACCGTATATTGTTCTTTCCACCATATACGACAACACAATATGAGATGAAGTAAAATATATCTATCATAGTATGAGTTGAAAAACAAAACAAAACAATTATCAAATCATAAAAAACGTTGTATGGTAAACAATTAGAAATATAATAATTTCAAAATAACAATGAATCGCCCCCCTCCACACGCTTCATGTCAACATTATCACCGTGTCTAGTGTGAAGGTACAATATATTATGTTTTAAGCTGACCATAAATACTGTTCCGCTCCACCACTTTAGGCGAGACGTCATCTGGGAAAAGCACGTTACTTAACCTCATCTTAGGCGCCGACATCTTGCCAGTCTCGCTACTTAGCTCAACGTCCGTGATTTGTGAATTGAAATATGGCGACAAGAAGCGAGCAGTCGTGCATAAAGTTGATGGGTCAAAGACAGAGGTGAATGACCTCGGGGATGGCGAAGCGGACTGCCTAGAGAAATTATCTGTATATATCCACATGGAGAACGACCGCGAGAAAGGGTCGCCGTATAACAGAGTTGAAATATTCTGGCCATTTCCATTGCTGCGGGTAAGTGTGTCGTAACGTGGAATATGATGAGTTAAGAGGGCAGGGGGGTAGCTGGTACAGGTTACAGGAAATAAAAACGGCATTTTACGTTTTTACAGGAAATAAAATGAAAGTTCCATTTACAGTAAGAAAAATAGGGTTTTACGCTTTATAGATAACGAAAATTCCTAATTAAAAATTACATTTTTATAATATTTTTAATAATTTGAGTTTAACAATCAAAATTGAAAATTGCGTACGAATTACGATATTTAATTTGGAAAATGCTTTATACGCTTACGAGAAATGATATCTTTGTACAAAATACGGACGAATAAAATAGCTGATTACATTTTACACCTTGCCCATGTCTACGAATTTTCCTGTTTTTTTTTATTTATATAAATTACACTATTACAAAAATAAAAACAATTGATTACAGCTTACGAAAATACCCGTTGCCGGCCCTCGTGAGTGTGGCAGCCCTATAGTTCTCAGTATAGCGATCCAGTATCCCAGGCTGGAAGAAGGGTGGAGGCGAGGGCAAAGTCTTCAGTTAACGCAGTGTCACTTCTGGAGAATCGAGAACTTCACATTTATACACCCTTTCACGCAAGAGTAAATTTTCACATGTACATGTATGTGACATTGCGGATGTCACATTCACATTGATTAAATCTCGTAAATTGTCTTTCCTCGCTTGATATTTTTAGATTATTTCTCGCTAATTCGGCTTGTGCATCTTTAAATTTCATGGCATAAGGTTCCAGCAATGTTCTACCGGATTCTCATCAGTAAAACCGTGCAATGTCTGCAGCAGTGAATTCTCTGATAATCTATATAAACTAATTTTCCAAACATTAGATGGTAGTTAGACGTTTTCCCAACAGTGTAGTTGATAAAGCAATCAAAGTACGGCCACGCCATTCTTCATGACGTTGGAATAAATTTACATGTTTAATGAGCAAAATCTTAACAGCAAGTCCAGAAGAAAGAGAAAGTGGGTAACCAGCAGAACTATAGTTGAGTAACCAGGTCTTGACACCTTCAATCTATCTCGAGTGGCATATATTTGAGAAATTGTACACATTTCTTCTGCTTTTTTACTACAGGGTGGTTTATTTATAGTGGACAGTCCTGGGATCGGGGAAAATCGAGAGATGACTAAACAAGTAATGGAGTATCTTCCCAATGCATTTGGGTTCATCTACGTCATCAACAGCGCCAATGCCGGTGGTGTACAGAAAGACAGGGTGAGGCGATGTATTCGTTTTATTGCTAGTCATTGTTCATTCAAATCGTGTGCTAGATAATGGTGACCGTGTATAGTATATATCCGACGTAAAAAATATTGGCGTGGGGTTGGGGTCGCGGCTTGTTTTAGAGTTCGGCACTGCATTGCTCAACAATGTACGAAAGCGGGTATTCAGAAATAGAAATAGAAATAGATACCAAAGCATCATTACTTATTATTGCGGAATCGCTCAATAATCGTTAAATGTTACATATTTTTTAGACAGACCGTGGCCTATAATCGTCATGGCAATTACGATCAATATATCGGTCTCATAAGTCTAGCGCCCTCATCCCTGAACGTTAACAGAAAGTTGTTATTCTCCCGTGGCGAAAAAACACTGGCCTCATTCTTAGCTTTAGCAGACAGTGGGAACTCGCGAAAGCGATAGATTAGGGTTTATTGCGACCAAGTATGCGGAACGACGACTTTCGCACTTTAAAGCGGGAGTCGACACCTGCACATGGGGCAAGACGGCCATAGCGTGTCGTTGTTTACTATCAAACGTCTACCCATGAGCTTTTGAGCGTTTCAGCGCCGTGCTCAATTCCCGTGCGTACGCAGGTGTCGACTACTCTGCTTCAACAGAGCTCGCAGATTACAAAAGTTCCCTTTTCAGCATTTTTATTCTTTACCTCATTTGTATAATTGCAATTTCCTTACTAATAAAAAAAATGTTCAATTCCAACAGTTGCAAAAACTTCTCCGAAGCGTTGCCGTTTCCAATGACGGAGAACAGCTAAAAACCTTTGACCCAAGATCGGCCATATTTGTGTGCAATAAATGGGACCAAGTGAGTACCTTGCTTTGTGTGTGAAATATTTTATAATCATAGCGTCATCCATAAATACTAAATTTTCGAAAAAGAGGCTCATGCTTTTGAATATTTGTGTGACGTACAGGTGCCGGCTAATGAGGAGGAGTTGGTGAAAAAGGACACGCTGGATAAACTTCGTTCGTGCTGGACAGGTCTTGAAGACGAACAGGTTTTCTTTGTGTCAACCCAAAAGGTAGGTCATTAAATGGTAAGAACTGCGCATGCGCTAACAATGTTAGTGCCGTTTCCGTGACGCAGGGATATATATTTTGTCTTACGTGACGAACACTGGCATGGAGGTAGTACGAACATTACGAACATTACGAACATTACGAACATTACGAACATTACGAACATGATTTCATTAGATAATAGAAATTTTCGAACTTACAGTGACGAACAAACATAGGTACAAATAAGCAAAAATAAGCTTCTCCAACGTAACTGAGATATTGCGAATGGCGAAAAGCGCGGTTTTAAATGTCTTTGCGTTAGGTTTATGCTTTAGGTTATCATATCGTGTACATACCAATGTCAAAACGCGTTAAATACGATTCAACTTAAATTTAAGTTTCATTCCTTGAATTAAACTATTTCAATTAATTACATTTAACTAAACTGTAAATAACTTGAAATGCCATCCATATATATTGCATTTATTTGAATTGAATTAATTGTAATTGAATTAAATTGTAATTACATTGCATTCTTATATAAGATTTAATAAGATTTAAGTTTAATTCCGGTTTCGGTTATGGACAACCTATGAGCGCCAATTAACACGCATACCAGTTTGGTGTAATAATATTGTATACTAGTATATCATTAATGACGCTCCCGTCAATGACCATTTGCGTTTTGTCATTTCACAGGCCGCGACCTCTATCAAAGCAGTAGGATTCCCAAGTAGTGATTTTGATATGTTACTGGATGGCATTCAAAAACTTCTGCCGATCAGCGTAAAGTATAAATTGCAAATATATTACGAGTAAGTACGTAATTATAAATCATTATATTTCCATTAGATTATTTCATCAAATACTTTAATACAAACTGCCAAAATTGTAGTATGTAAGATGAATTATTATTATTATTATTATTATTATTATTATTATTATTATTATTATTATTATTGAGTCATACTGGCACCGTGATCAAGGTTAAGCAAGATTCTGAGTGCATTATTGTATGCCACACGAACACGCACGATTAATTTATTATTGAAGCTCGAACGAATTACATTACTACAAGTGTAACAACCACGAAGGCCTCAAAAACTGGGCATCTTGTACAAAAATATAGGTCTCAGTTTGCGATAACTAACAACGCTGGAAGTTGAATGAATTTACGTATACAATACACTGTATCTAAATTGTCTCGTTGATTGTTGGTTTCTATTTTTATTCAGTTGGCTAGCTTATCTGATGTCCCGGTCAGCTCTGCAGTTGCGTACCAAGTTATACAATGCTAGTATGTCCGCCGTGGAAATGGCCGACAGATTTAAATACATTCAGGATAGGCTTGCCAAGTGCACACTAGATACGGAGCGGGTGTTCAGGGAGATAGAATCGGACTTAGAAATGCGCAAACGCGAAATTGTTGACTCGTTGCTCCACTATTTGAAAGTGGATTGCAGGGATGCTGTGTCTCACTGGACTGAAGCCGATGGTCCTGATTTGAAGTCATGGGACGCCTTGCAGAAGCATGTCAGAATGCTGATATTGAGGCGGTTAGAAGGTCTGGTTTACGAATGGGATGGAGATAACATGTGGTTTCAGAAGTCTAGGCAGCAGCTTCAGGTCGATTTCAGGAAGAAGTTTGGGCTGCTACAAGACTACCTCTCTGAAGTGGAAGAAGCTATGTCTGTTGGACGATCATTCGAGCTGAAACCATTTGGTGAACATGACAGTCTTCCAGCCTCGAGTGGAATGTCAAAGTCGACCAAAATCGCTCTCGGTGCCTCCTCTCCAATTCTTGTTCCCATAGCGGTGGTTGCGAGTGTGTTCCTTGTCCCAGCCGCTGGCATTTACGCCATCCACCGGAAAGTAGGCATGAGGAAGAAGTTAGAAGATTATCGAAAGAACAAGGTCGAATACCTGAAGGAAATCTCCATTGAGGTACTAGAAGAATTCTGTGAACGTGACAACCTTACAAGCATTGTACAGGACCAGTTCGACGACATTGACTTCTGTCTGTTAAAACTGCGCAGTTTGGTGCCCCGTATCATCGCAGCCGATGCCAACCTGATGGAGAGTGTGAAACGAGACCGGGCCATGGCAACATTCGAGAAGGACACGTACACTAAATTGTTCCGTATATGCCACAAACTACAGGGCAAGCTGAACCTTTTCCACATCGAAAGAATACGGGAGTTTGAGTTCGATTTCAACGATCTCCAAGGCTGGAACCCAATGTCGGCCATCGCCAGTGGCAGCTTTGCCGATGTATACCATGCCAGTCTGCGGAGACGTGATGATGTAGTGCAGATCGCTTTAAAGGTGTTCAGAGAACATGTGACACCAGATACCGTGAATGACTATCTCACGGAAGAAACCGCTCTCAGGTATGTATTGAATATATGACAATTGGTAGTCAAAACGTGAGGTGTTTACAAGTAAACTTCAATATGACAAGCGTCCAATACAGCAACTTTTGCACAAGTCGTGCCCATTGGTGATGAAACTTTTCTGTGTTGTAAAAGTGTATATGCAACGTCGTGTTGATCTGTTTTCGTCCGTCATTAAATATTCTGTTGTTGTTTTTTGATATCTTTTACAACGACATTGCTTTCGACATTAACTTAATGTTTACGTCATTCAATTGTTTCGACGCTAGAGGGCGCGCCAATTGTGAACGATGTATTGACGTAACATGTGACTCTGGTAGTGAATATGCTCTTTTTGACATGTGTGTTAGACGGGGACTTATGAATTGACCTCTATCTGTGCGTGCGGAACTGGTCGAATTGCGGCTATTTTTGTACTGAACAATGATTGAAATCAGGCATTTCGTTTACAAATGGAATTTGTTCAAACTTACATTGGACATCGTGGGACCTATGAACACGTCATTTTGTTTTTCAGATCGAATTCAAAATGACCGACTGGCGGCCATTTAGTTTTAAAGAATACAGTTCTAGTGCTATATATCTGGCATTTTTTGACTGATTATGACATTATGTTCAAATTTCATATATTCGTTATACATCATGTCATAGATATACAGATGTATTCAAAATGGCCACTGGTCGACCAGTGGCCATTTTGTTTTTATTAATGCTGTCCCAAGAATGTCTCTCAATACGGACAAGTACTGGTTTGATGACCAGATATAAGATGACTGAATGCCAACCATTTTAATGTTAAAAAATCATCATAATCAAGCATCAGCTTCTGGATCCCTACTTTTGACATGTTTATGTTCAAACTATATTACTATAAACAAAACTATATATCTTAAATTTGATAACTAACGGGGACTGTGCCATGCATGGCTTGTGTTTTCAGGCCCTCGCAGTTACTACCCATCGTGATGTACCAATGGCAATTTATACATATTCTGAAAGCGTAGATACAGGAGAACACATATTGACATGTTTTGTTACATTGTTAGCTCAGTAAATTTGAATAACCCATTAACAACAGGGATGCAGAATAAATTAATTTGCGCATATACATGACGACTTCACAGAAAATATAAAGTATTTAACGGGATTTGTTTTACATTTGTTTTTCAAAGTTAGAGACTGCGACAGAATACAGTTCCGATTACAGTCACGTTTTTTATTTGACACGCAGTTATACAAAGACATAATTTATTAGTTCATCACCTTGAGCCATAACTGTGGAAACTGCGGCGGCTTGACTGTGCTGGTGCGTCATACTGCAAGTGAAATATTATCCTCTTTCAATCGGTGAAATATATGTTTCAATACATGATGCGACGACAAGCCCTTTTTATCTTCTATTTTGTCTCTCATGTTGTTGTTGTTGTTCTTCTTCTTTAGAAAACTGGCAAGCCCTTACGTGGTGGAATTCCATGGTTCTGCCTTCAGCACTAAACCACGCAAACAATTAGCAATGGCCTTCGAGCTCTGTGTGGGACTCAAAGACTTTATTTTCAGCTTCGACGACCGAATTCCAGCCAAACATGAACCATGCACCAAAAGCAGGGAAATTGCGTTTAACTTCATGAAAGATTTTTCCAAACAGCTCACAAGGGCACTGGCGTTCGTCCATGAGAAAGGGTTTATTCACAGAGATATGAAAATTGACAACATATTGGTGAGTACGCCCTCAGCAATATCGCATCGTGATCTATTGTTTTTATTTTATTTTAGTACATTTTACAGTCAATGCAGCAAACACGTCGCGTTGCATTATCACACGATAATATGAACCTCTATTCGCAAGTCAATTTATATCAATTTGTGTAAATTTATAAAAATCCTCTAAATTTTTATTTTATTCGTCTAGATGAGACGATGAGTTCGCCTTCATTGCATATTACTGATTACAATCTCGCCTGTCTGTTCGTACATTAACCTGGAGGGAGTCATTGTTTACAAACAAGCATCTGCCCATGAGCCTTTGCGTTTTTAGCGTGTGTTGTCACAAGTTATCGTCGCTTGAGACTCAATTCCCGCGCGTGCGTAGGTGGCGACACTCCAGCTTTAAGAACCAGGGGGTGCATGTCGCACTTGGCTGAAAAACTCGTTTCATTTATATAAAATGATATTCATGACAATTTAAAAAAATCGTCTGCTCAGTAAAACTGTGCGAACATACATTCCGATAGCCAGTATGGTAGTTCTAAATTGAATGATTCTTTTGTCACGAGGTGAAATCGCTGACATTCGTGAAAGGGAGGTTGCTGTGATGGGTGAGATAGGGTTTCGTTGTGTAGAATAGAAAACAGACTTCCATGAGACAAAGTCAAAATCAGAGATCCATGGGGTTCCGTTTATTGCAAGATGTCAGAGTACATTGAAGTCAAAACAAGAACTATTCCCTCCGAAAAACTGGTATTTGCATAATGTTGTCAAAATACAATACAGAGCTGTGATAGGTTCAAATTAAAGTGGAAGATTCCACTATCATAGCACCGTGTGTGTGCATGCGCAGTTTGAAGTAGAACAATTTTGAACGCAATATAATTATTTAAAATTAAAATAATATTCATGATATATGTCTTTCTTATGTTTTCCACAACGCATGCGTGATACTGCCGTGGTGTAATTGATACAAAATATTTCGTCGATCTAGAAAGCGTAATGCCACAAACCCGCTCTAAACTGTGGTACACTTTCTCAGTGTTGTTGACATTGAAAAAAATGGCCCAGTCTATGGATCTGCATCTACATACACTTCCACAGTGAGAGGATCCTTCGAACTAAGTGTATATTTTATCCTTTTACTTCCAAAATCTGGCATCACTACCCATTCTTTCAATACTCCCTTCACAAGCATCTACGTTGTCTCCTTCCTCAACACCAAGACACAGTCCTTCCTTTCCTTAAAAAGAAAACAATCAACGGGGAATTAAATAATTCATACCTACTTCAGTGAATTTCTCGTTCTGGTTTCCATAACAGCGAATAACAATAATGTTGAACTTGCAAATATTTCGTTTGTATCTCATTAACAGGTGGACAACCAGAACAGGGTAAAGCTAGCTGATTTGGGGTTGACCAAGAGAGACCAAGACATCACGCATAGTTTCGTCGGCTCCGTCTATTACATGCCGCCGGAGATGTTAACAGCTAAGAAGTACAACTACAAGGCCGACATCTACTCGCTCGGTCTGATCTTCTGGGAGATGTGGTACGGTGAGTACGCGTACGAAGATGAAGACAGCAGCATGCTTGAATTCATCAATAAAATCAAGGACAATTACAGGCCGGATCTGAAGAAGCCAAATCAACCGTCTTATGACATGTGTGAGTTGATTAAACGGTGTTGGCACCAAGACCCAGATAGACGTCCAACGGCTCCGGAATGTCTCGAGGCCGTTGAACGTGTGAAAGACTGATTTATACCTCTTCCTGGCATTCAATAAATATACTTTTGAAGAAAATGGCCGCCGGGATTTCGTTGACAGCGAGAGACGCGCGTGACTTAAGTTCTATCCCCTCCAATAAGCCGCCGCACTGTGACGTTATTGTTTACATTTTTGCCAACTAGTATGCAAATGTTTGATAACAAATGTCCCTTACTGATCAACACGGGCTCGAAATCCGCTAAAATCCGATAAAATTGTCCAAATTGTCCAAATTAACAGAACACATAAGTGTGTATTTAATAACAACAGCGAACAACGACGGTATTTTATCTTCGAGTGCGAACGATCAGTCCTTTTCAACCAGTTACTGCGCACGCGCGCGCACGGGATTCATGATCTCTATTTTCTGTAGAGACTTTATAAACGCGAAGAGTTTAATTTAGAACATCGCTGAACCGATTACACCAATCAAGTAATAGTGCTCACAAAATATGAGAGTCGTCATCTGGAGTGAAAGCATGGAACATGGAACTACCTGGAGCTCTATTTTGTTATACAATTTGCAGCAAAAGTTGCGCTGATTATCACAATAATATAGAAAGGACGTTTCATTTTCTAAACTTCACATGCACCAGTGGAACAGCGGAAGCGATGGCGAGGGGAATGGAACAATATTTTGAGAGGCAAAAACATGCATCGTAGCTCTTTCGCTCTCCGCGAGATTCCGGCGGTCATTTGCGCTTAAGGTCTGTTCTGGAATCTCACGATAGTATCGCCGAGAGGAACACATACATTTATACCATATTGGTGTGTTCGCCTAACCTGATGCCCCCCTCAAAGCGAATCACCTATTATGCTCACCTCAACTCAATGTGATGTTCCGATATCGTACCGGAAACGGAAGTGTATCAACTTGGAACCTTATCACACCGTCATTATAATTACAGCAGTAATATATGTGCGACCATATTTGTGTTTTCACGTTTTATCTCTCATATGACTATTATTTACGTTGGAAATTTATATGCAGATATTTTCAGCATTAACCTGACCCGAATGGTATATATATTGTCTAATTCAAGTTGTTTACTGTTACGGTTTTAGTCATGTCCTTTTATCGTTCTCAGCAGTTTTAAAGACTTCAATTATGATCCGGAACAACAATTACTGCCTATTTTTGTATTTGTTTAAATGAAGATAAAGTCACTTTCATGCCGCTTGTGAACAAAATATAGGTCAATGATATTCACAATGACGTTTGTATATAATTGCCATAACATTACAATAAACTGACTGACTATTAATATGCACTGATTATATATGTAACTATTATTTTATGTATTGTTTTAATATTCAGTTCACTCATGGTGTTCTAATGTGTTTTTTTAAAATAATGTATAATTACAAATAACATGTGTTTTTATCGAACTTTATTCTCTTATTTTGTATTTTTAATATCACATTTCCTGTGTCATTGATTTCATTTTGTAAAGGCCATCGCCGAAATCTGGACACTGAAAGCATAACATATACACTTCCAACGTTGTACGTTGAATCACTTGCAAGTGAAAAACGATAAGTCCAGCTCTCCAGAGGGCGCCCTCTATTGAAATCCAAGCAAACCTCAGGAACTACTGTACAAGATGACAACTTACCATGGGACCCGGGCTATGCTTCTCTCTGACGCCGTCTCATTGATGATGTTATGTGTTATATCCTATATAGTGTCCATCGTGTACGTGACCGATCTCAACGAAATTGCGACCCTTAGTTAGTACATCGCCTTTTGTGAGATATTAGCCTTGTTTAGGGTTTCTTATCCATTAAGTCTAAAACAATATTTAGGTAAGATTCAGCCACTTTTATATATTCATATATACAAAAAATGTTTAAACTCATAACTATTGTCGCTTTAATGATTTATTTAGACGCGATAACTCGTTATTACACGTCGCAGTGTACTGTGGGATGGAGTCAGAATTCAGCTGCAAAGTTCGATTCCACGATCCACTGATATGAAGGTAGACTCCTATTCATAGTTTTTGAAAATATTGGTCATAAATCGCGTGGCCCGAGAGACTGTTATAGCATGTAACGCCCTCATGCGGCATTACGTGGAAATTGCCCGGTGACGTTTGGCTGAGACTTGTCATTCGGCATTTCGTTAAGACGCCAACGGCGTTTGAAAGTGACTCTTTATTAGGCACCAGAACTGTCGACAGTCTAAACCATTTTGTCAAATTCCCATTGCAACGTGTAACCTAATTGCTGTTTGTTACAGTACCATATTTTCAGAAAAATTGGCATAATATTAAACAAATTCCAATTTGAAAACACGATGTTAAAGCAAAATAGCAATGTCCTACAAATTTCGATATGTCATAATTTCTCCATCATAAGAACCAAGTATAAGGTGTTCTGATAATGACAAACTGAATAGCAGCAATTCCTCAAAAATATAACCACCATTTTCTTGAAAAACAGACTAGTGACTCCAGCTTTCAACATCCTTCATGTTGAGGTATTGTTTCCCTGTCCCAATGTCAACGCTGAGGGCGGTTAAGAACAAGAAAACCAAACTAGCTTTGCCGTTTTGTAACTGGCGTCCATTGCGAATAGCAAGTAACCAGTACTCGCCATATTGTTCCACTGTGCCTAGATTCCGTAATTTGAAAACAAATCAGTAATACCAAAAAAACGTGCCCGTTCAGTCTGACTGCTTAGACTTCATATTTGAGATGGTTCTGACATTTCTTGATATTTATGTGCGAAGTGATAAGAAACACTTTTAGCATTATCATGGAAACACGTGTTAATTCGCATAATTATACTTTTGTGTGTCGATGTTGCATGATGTTGAAGATTTCGAAAATTACCAAATAAATACAATCATCCTAGAATCGTTATTCACAGTGAATAGTTTAAATTGAAGCGAAACAGAGTGCCATATAAATATATTTAGCAAGTTTACGAGAGCAAATAGTGTATCTATAACGAAACAACATAACACCATCAAATATTAATTTTATTGGGGAACAAAATATACAAACACACGTTCATCACTTCCGGAAAGGAGCGGAAAACGGAAAGTACGCCCTCAGAGCGCATGTATAATTTTGCACCCGGGAATATTCTTGATGTAAAATGAAAAAAGGAAGGTAATAAACAAAATGGTTAAATTCTAATTTTTAATTGTTCTTGGTTATTTTTGAAATTAATAAGATTTTACGTAAAATGGTAGACTGGCCCAGCCGGGGCAATTTTCATAATAATTCTTTCTTAAATCTTCTTCCGATACAAAATTACGAAATATCGCGGCAACTCGGAAGATTCTATAAACTCGTTTTTCGAAGATTTATACTATAAGACAATAAAAATTGCCACGACTAGGCCAGTCTAGTAAAATTGGTACAACTTTAAACTTCCGAGTCGGGGCTATAATTTGAAACCAACTTGGAACACCTCTATCGTTTGTGAAGATTGATTTATCAATGGAAATTCCACATGATAAATATCAAAATTTAAAAGTTACAATGTATTCAATGCCATCCATCTTGATACACAAAATACCAGGGGCACAAACATAATCTCTGTTGCGTCTGTGTTATGTTCACTCTAGAGTGTAGTTCTTTGTTTGCCATTGACATGCAGAAACACGCAGAACTATTTGTAATGTTTGTTCCGGGCAGTATACAAAGTGCATTGATCCAAATGAAAATCGTGTTTGTTTACAACAAAGTGTACTTTCCTTAACGTAATTACATGTACTTAGATAGAAGTAATCTCTTTTCCCCAACGGGATCTATACAGTATAAGCAACTCGTCTTAACAGGTGGCCAGGACGATATAAAAAAAAAACGGCTTTGGATGTCGAGATGTCTGGTTGGAATTGCGTCATTGCAGGGAAGACATTGGCTCAGTTGTCACGAACGTGTAAATAGGTGTTTTGGATTCAAGAGCAACAAATTTACACAAAATGGTCTCAAAATATTGTCATTGGTATTTTCATTGATATGTACACAAAAACGTGCACACAATCGTAGTAATAGTGTAGTACGTGCATCTACGGAAATAGTGTAAGGGTGGGTTATTATTCTTATTGGGTGAGGGACGTGCTCAAAAACAAATAACATGTAACTCACGTATCTAACATGTAACATCGCGATCTACCACATAAAAAATAAAATTCTATTTCAGCGCAATTTCTCGCGCAGATGAGAAACAAGGTTATACATGGAATAAAATTGTATTTCATTTCTTCTCTCCGATCAATAATCTCACTTACAATTCTTTGAGAATCATACAAATCTAATGGAAAAAAAGAATTAATTTTTTTTCCGCCCTCCTCAAAAAAATGCCTTATAAAAACCCGAGAAACAAGGAATAAATAAAGTCTGGCATTAGGTGCACGTGTCTAATACTATTTATTTCTTGCAACGATATACACGCCTTCTAACCTGTTACCTTGGAGAATGATTAGAGACATATACACTCCCAGAGCGACTCGATAACAGAACAAAGAATTCTTGGCGTCGCCCCTTTACAGCAGAACCCAAAGTTGTAGGACACACTTCTTCCCATTATTATTGCTCTGTTTACCTACAGGTCTGTATTGTGAAGAACTCTATTTTACTCCGTAGGTACAATACTCGGACCCATTTACCGACAATGATATAGGTTAAAAGAGCGGCCACTACTACCCCATTTAGGAGTCTACATGATTCAACGGTGGATACCATCTGTAACAGACACAAGTGGTGGTGGTGAT